CGACCTCTAAAGGTGATTTTTCAGGTAAAACCGGATTGTGTGACATACAAACAAACATACATAGATACATACATACAAACAGACACACCAAACTTGTGGATTATATATAGTAAGGATACTTAATCTGATCGATAGGTAGGTAATAGTGGTCTCAGTGACGAATTGAGCCGCTATCTGTAGTCTTGGGTTTCACCAAACTGGGTTGAATACCTGGGACGTAAAGAACTCATCGGTAGTTGGATTGACCACTGGATTAAGGTTATGTATGCAGTGACCATTATTCAGATCCCAAATGTAAGATTTTACCGGCAGGATTATTTTTCAATTCCCTCTTATCGCATTTTTCTTTGTGAATCCTGAAATTTATCGGATGGCGCATGATGACAAAAGGCCGTAATATTATGATCGTTTCCATTATTTAAATCGTGCTAGGGACGCAAGGCATCGTTAAGCGTGATATGTCTCGCTGGTGTTTGCATTTTTTAAACCATTTTATGCATTTTGTCATTCATATCGATGTATTTTAATTCATGTCCCAGCAAATGGTAACCCTTTTGAAGCGATTTGCACCATAAAATGATTCACCAGCCCTTATGGTACCTCGAGATAAGATGGGCGTTTGATGTCGTAGAATTTCTTTTGCTACCAGGGCGAGGCTATCGCAAGACGCGTGTTTGCCATGGATGTCGTGTTAGTAATTTTGATTATGCTTCGATTACAAATGTCTGGAATGATAGGAATTGTATTGGTTTGAGACCGATAATTATAACCGAGCATCGATAATTCATGCTCAACTTGGAATGTTGACAGGGAAGAATGCGCGAGAAACAGATAGTTTGAAAGTTGGCCGTTTCGTGCTTTTCAGAGGTGGCATGCTCTCGGGTTTTCACCCATGCCTGGTATCTGACTTTTTTCTTGCTCGTCTTGCTGGTAATTTCATAAAATTGATCGCTCTCGCTTTCTGTTTCCGCCATGTCGAGAGCGAAGGACAAGTGACTGCGAAATCGATTGATTGCAGTCTTAGAAAGTGTTTCTTGTTTTTACAACCCTTTACTGGTGTTAAGGTGGCATCCGGTAGAGGGAGCTTTATTGTAATACTTGCAATCGGGGCCATTGAAAGTACAGAATGTCGAGAAAAGTGACTATAAGATACGATGGACTTAAATAGTCGAGTTTCTAGCAAGATTTCTTTTTGCAATCCTGTTAAATATAGCCGTTGAAGAAGGTTCTTCCTTTAGATGTTCAGTCTTTCCCAGAAAATTGTTGATATCTTGATCCATGAGAATCTTCATTCAGTTCTCTTCACTCTGAGTTCTATTCTAGGTTGTCTCCTGTTTTGATTTTTCTTGCATGTTGCTGTCCGGGCCTCCACATTATATGCCTTCTACCATTTCTGTGTTTTTTGAAATCATTTTTATTTCATCTCCATGTGAGCGTTTCGAATGTTTTATGCTTCTTGCTTTTAAAGCCAAAAAAGGCAGCGAAGCTTTGTGAATACGGTATTACAATGTTTCTATCAGATTCTTCACTTCAAGCCAGTTGTCCGTCCTTTCTGATTGGTGAAACCCTATTGAAAGTGCAGAAAGCTGCAGAATATCTTTGTAAAGGATATGAATATGGGCGGCTAAGGAGGTCTCCGTGGCGCATATGAATCAAGGGTGTGCTCAGTAGTTCATCAGATCTGAATTGGAACCTACGAGTAATTGTTTGGCTGCAGGTCAAAAGCTTAGCGATTTCCGAGTAGTGATAAGAGTTATCAAAATAAGTGGCGAAAGGATGCTCAAGCGTTCACTTTTCAGCGCCATCTGAGGGTTCTCTTTATTTATCCTAATGGCAGTCGTTTCATTGAAGACCTGAAAGTAAAAAACAGAAAATGGGATTCTGAGTAGTAGACTTTTTGCTTCAAAGGCTTAGGGCTCCTTCAGACATTTCCTTGTTAAATAAGCGGAATGGATGATGGCTACGATACGTCTGGCACGGATTCACGTGAAGAGGCTTATCCAATCGTGGAATTGTGCAATGTTTGCGCTCAAAGAAGATATTTGTGGAGAACTTTAGAAACGGCGGAAAAGGTTGGCCCGAATCGGAGAGCGAATCTCCCGCATCCCCGTGCAAAGTCGTAATCCGCCGTAATCTGTGGTGGCGCGAGGTGCGCGGCGTCAGTGCAATCGGAGGCGTTCGTTGGCGGTATTGCGTCTTCGCTGTCGTCTTCACTACTACCGTCGTAGCGATCGCCTTGACCCGTTCAGTCCTTCTCCGCCCCTCTCTTAACTATACTCTATCTGTCAACACCCATACAGCGTCATCATATCTTCCGCTGGGTGACATTGACGGGAGTTGACCTAGCTACTTGCTGACCGCTAGTATTACTGAACTCTGCACCAGACGATGAATTATTATTAAGCGATGTCATTCGTATATTCAGCGGCTATCTACTCGCCCGGCGAGGGCAAAACTGTTAGGGACCTCGAAGGTATTTTGATCACTATTTATTTGTCCAATTCTTTGTCGTCTTACTTTGTAAGTGGTATTATCTTATTGTCGTGAGCTTTTACTTTTTCTCTTTGGTCAAACCTTTCCGCAAAGTTGACCTCGTACCGTTAAACATTCGTTTTTTATGTCTTATCTTCTTTAATCTCAGACGAAACCCGAGGCTGGCGCGGTGAAATTTCTTCTAGCCGAAGTAAGATCAATTTCGACGAGTTACATTCGAAAGAAACCATGCCACAGTATGAAGTAAGGGTGAGTGTTGAATTGTTTAGGAGGATTAACTTTATTTTTATTAGTTTTCCTTTTGTATTTTTATACAAGAATGAATCCGTGTTAAAATTTCATTTACTTTTCTTGAGCGTTGTGACCTTAATTCTGTTTGTGAAAAATGTGTCGTGTCCAAAATAGCCTTGAATATGAAGTACAGTAATGTCGGCAACAAGAACTTTTCCTCAAATATGTGCAAAATTCTTTCGATGTTGTTTGCCCGAGTACTTTGCGTATTTACAACGTCAAAGATGAGGGTGTATGGTAGCTTAGCCTTTGAGCGCATTGAGAATTTGGTTTTTCGGAAAAATTTCAGAATGGATTTTGTCAAATTTCGTGGTTTTGAACCTATTGTTCAAAAGTTTTCCTTTTTTGATCAGAGCGTTTACTGGTAGAATTGGTTCGTGGTGTTGGTTAGAATTGAGGGGAGAGGTTTCTGACCTCAAGGTATCTCATGGAAGATAAAAGGGGCCGCATCTAAGTGCTGGTTTACAGCGTGCGATAAACAGGGTACTTGTCCGACCAAGGAATCCAATTATACCTGTAGTTTCACCTCAATAGGCATTATTTATGCAATGCGCTACTTTTCGGCAGAAATGTCTTGCTACGACTCACTTTTCAAGAAATTTGAAATGTAGTTGACAGAGTTTTGTGATTAAGTATTCGTTTTTGATGTCGTTCTTCTTCTATTCTTTCCTCCCGTTGAAATCGTACAGTAACAAAGTGACTGATTGTATGTCTCGTTCGTAAAATGTGGTCATTTTCGCTGGCGCTGACCTTAAAAGTCATATCCATCCCTTATTAACGGTACGACGAATTACGATGACCTTTACAAAATTTCATGCATTCTTTTGTTTTGTGATTTGTGCGATATGCAGTAGGAGGGTATCTACAAAGGGTCGTAGATGTTGCCAATTTTCGAACCCTTTTAGGTTTTGGCAAGGAGAGGGTGATAGAAATCAATAGTAGTGAGAGATAGTGTATCCAATTGATAAACTCTTTCCATCACGAATAGTGGACATGCAATTTCACAGGCTTTGAGCTCTGTTCTTTGAGGTTCCATTGAAGTGTGGCTGTTTGAAAGAACGTGCCGTCCAGTGTTTACCGTAGAAATGGTGCGACAACGTCCCAATGATCTCTAAAGTTACTCTTTGCTGTATAGTAGCTCTGACTGTGGGAGAATAGAAGCTGTCGTGGTTTTTTGAAATCGACTGTCCTCCGTGTTCGATCATCCGGGATGATTGTTATCGGCGGTCGTTGATCGGCTGCCGATATAACCACACTATGTGGAGAGTATATCGATCTTTAATGATTGCAGCGTTAGTTTTGGGTGAAGGAACTGATGTAGATTCTATACATAGATAGCTTTCAAAAAAATCTTGGACGAGTTTTCTAGTTTTGGGTTTTGGTTTTTGAATTCTACACTCTCTGACCGGCTTGAATGTTTATATGAGCGCATCGTTAAAAAAGAATTATATTCATCAGTGGCTATAAACAGATAGCAAGCTTAGCAAGCTATGCGATATCAATATTATTGATATTCAAATTCCAGAATAAAACTTCGAAATAAGCGTTATTAGTGTTACAACAAAATCATTCAATTCCCGACTTCTCTGTGTCGCTCACAAAGTCGAAGCGTCCACGAATTCCGGTGATGCGCTTCTATCATTCGTATTTGTTTAAGCCGATTAAGTCTGATTCATTCCATATCGAATTTCGGTGAAACGTCCCTTGCGTCGAGAGCGAAGTGCTTGCTTTGCTCTCCCAATAGGGACCATTCGGAACAGTTGAGGGGTGAAATGAAGTTTATAGAAAGATATGTAAAACAATATTTTATTTCTGTTGCGATTACAGTCTTGATAGTTGAAACTGAGGTGAACTGGTCTAGTAAATCATTTGAAGCCGCTGCAATCCTTTTTTGACTCGAGGATTTTTGTACTTTCGGCTCTCAGCAGAAGGGCCTTAACGTAATGTTACCCCACACGATATATTTCGCGTCCAGCCATCACAAACTTTAGCTTTCTCTTTCTCTTTCTTAAAACTAAACAGTTCTGCCAAATAAAGGGAAGCAAAAAAAACGACAGCCCACGAGTCTCACATTGTCATTTAGGTGCGCGTACCGCACGTCAATGGGGCACCTGCTGGAGCCGCGCCAAGTCCTCGACAGGATGACGAGGAATTCGCCAATGAAACATTGTTTTTCGAGCGTAATCGTATTAAACAACTACAAGATGAGCGTGTCCATATCCAAAAGAAGACATTCACAAAATGGTGCAACTCCTTTCTGAATCGGGTGAGTCTTTGCTCGGAAAGATGAAATACGTTCAGTAGACTTTACTCTTCTTTCAATTTTGTTTTTGCCTCGATGGACTTTTTTTTTCATTTACATGAATATTAGCGAGTAATCAGTCATATAGTTTATACTGCATCAGTTTTTTTCCCAATCATGCAGTCTCGGAACGCCCAGATTGCCACAAAACCCCTGAGACGACCTTCCCAACAATTCTGATTCTATCCACTCGTGGCCGCGCTGATAATCGTTGCGTTCCCTACGAGGGCACCAGTGTGCGGGGGGAACAATTAGTTTGATAATAAGATAGTGCTTATCGGCATTGCTGTAGACAGCAACACCGTTTTTTCATGAAGATTTTTTCTCTATCTTTTCTAAGAATTAGAATAGAACTACATTGGAACAAAGCCAATGTTATCTCCAAGTAAGGAAGCACTTCCGACACCGGTAATGGTCATGTTTTTGCTGAACATAGCGTCGTGATGAGAACTTTCCAGTGAAAAAGGTCAGGGGGGAATGGGAGGTCGGTGGGGGAAGTGGTCGCTTTGTTCTTTTAAATGTCTAAGGTGCGTAATAATTTGCAGCATACAATGATGTTATAGGCTCAAATAAGGTGGGCTGTTAAAAGGATGCAAAGATTTGTGCTGTTACAGTTTTTCCAAATGACTATCCCATGAATTGGGTCTTTTTGTTTGGGGTTCTGATTTTCATCGGCTTCAAAAGTGGTAACTAGTAATTCTCTATCTGTATCGATTATTTGCCACAGCATTGGGACTATTTGTTTATTAGTTTGCTGAAGCGTGGATGAGGCGTCATGGCGGCCTTTTGCATGCGAAGATGGCGCAGGCGATATGCTCTGTCAGAAAGGCACATCTCTAACGGACTACGCATACCATCGAATGGCCTTGTTATTTATCGTCAGATGAATTGGTTGTGGAACGAGTAGGAGTGAAGAAAGGGGAATTCTTCTCTGGAACGGATCAGGATCCATTAATCATTAGGTAACGATCACTGGTCGCTCAAGAAGTCATGTCAGTCTCACTGGTATAGTTCCGGTAGGATTTCTTGAGGGAAGAAAACACCAGTGAATTTTTCAAGGAACGTCGCATTTCCTTTCTGTGGTGTTGGAAGGTCTTCAGGAACTTTCGAACCAGGTGGTGCTCCTGTTGTGGTTGTGGTGATAATTGCAAAACAGCTTGCATGGGCTTCTTCTCATTGCAGGAGCGGCAAGTTGAATTACCAGTAGTAGTACTGTGTACCTCGTAATGTGCAATGAAAACCTCCTGATTCAAAGATTATGCTTGTTGTGAGTCTAACTCCAAATAATTCGAGAGATGGCTCCTCCCTGATTGTTTACATTGTATTGAGACCTCACACGTCCCGTCGTCATGGTGAAGATCAGTGTTTTTGTTGTAAATCAGGCTACACCAGGCTGATCTTACGCGATATTTTGGGGCACATCGATATATTGATTAGCCCGATGTGGGTAGTTCTTATTAGTCGGTCTGAATGTATTAGACCCCCGTTAAGATGTGGTAATGGTTCATGAAAAGCTAATCTACATAACTAGGCGTCCTATAGAAAAATCTTGAAGGTCCAATAGTAAAGCAAATTCTTCAATAACTTATTGAAAATGGAGGAAAGGCGTATAGTTGCAATTCATGGAATGCTTAGGTTATGTAAAATTTAGGGAAAAACGACTTCTGCAGTCTATTCGGTTGTGGTTCTCTTGATAAAGTCCTGGAAACTTGGGCGTTAATCAGTCCCGTCTGAGAATTTGCGCCCACCCATTCAATTCCATTCAGAATCGTAGTCGTGTATTGATTGCGTATGTGGTCTATACAAGGACTTTCGGTGGACAGCCGATGTAGAAGTCAGTACTTTTATCCCCCCAGACTTGCCTGATACAAATTAACCGACTCCGGAGGGATGGAAGGCTTGGTTGGCTTAGGCGGATATCGACCCGGGGTTCGAGCCCTTGACCATGCGTGTGTGGAGTGCACCACTTGTCACTACACCACCTCTGCCCATCTCCATCTTGGAGGCAGGTAATGTCCCCATTGTCCGATTCTTCATTTTTTGGTTTTGTCAAAGTCTACTGAGCTTCATGTGGTGGATTTGTCTTTTGTTCGATGACAAGCGTAGACTGGACGGGTTGCTTTGTTGACACAATGTTTTGTTAGTGACCATCCATAGCACGAGCCACTTGAGATGATTGCTATCGCACGTCCTCCCAATTAGTGGTGGGCTGGCTGGCTGGAGCAAGAAATAATAGGACAAGTTTATCTCTAAGGTAAAGAAAGAAAGTTGGTATCATATCATCTTGCTTAATAGGACATATTCGGATGCATTGATACTTGAAATACTTAAATTACCCAAAATTTGTTGAGGTCAAATGAAATACCTTCGGGAATAGAAGAGATACAGTTGTGGTTATCGAGAAGTTTGTTTCAGGCCCGATTGGAGGTTGTCGACCTATTCGTGGATTTCGGAGATGGTGTGCTTTTGATGAAACTTCTTGAGATCATTTCCGGGGAAAAATTGGGAAAACCCAATAGGTATATCATTTACTATTCGATTGTTCCGTCGCTTCAGTAAAACACTTACTTCAGAGGCCGTATGCGGGTGCAGAAAATCGAAAATCTTAACAAGGTTCTAGATTTCCTCAAGAAAAAGAAGATCCAAGTAAGTTGTACAAATGTTGGATTTGAAAAGCTGCGCTAGCTCTGGATTGCAATCTCTTTATTATTCCGCCAATATGCGGCTACAAAAGCACACCCGGAGGATATTTGGGGTTGTCGCAGGTGTCAGTCGTATTTACGCCTGCTCACTGGGGTGTTTGTGCAAAAGGCTGGCACGAGCTCTACGACCGAAAGAGAAATATAGGAATGAGCGTAAACACTCATAAGGGACGAATGAAGGGTTCTTAATAAGGGGTCAGGGTTTAGGGTTTTCTCCCATCAGTAGGTCACGACTCGAACTAATCAATATACATGCAGTGTAGCTCTGCGAAAAAATTCTTTTTTATGTCGATGTGTATTCCAGCTCGAAAACATTGGCGCTGAAGACATTCTGGATCGTAATGAGCGGCTCATTCTTGGTCTTATTTGGACGATTATTCTCCGCTTCCAGATTGACACGATTGTCATTGAAGTAAGTGGATCGATCAATGTCTTCATATTTAGTTTAACTTGTTTTTAATGGCAATAATTTGATCTGCGGGCTTGTGGTTACTGTGGTCGAGTTATTCGTAGAATCTGAGTCATGCTTTTCAGTTCTAAGTACATCATCTTTTCAATTAAAGAACTCAGCTGCACATTTTTCAACCGTTCATTCTCACATTTTCTTTTATGAGAAGGATGCGGTCGGATATTCCCTACCAAATAGAATTTATTGCCTCACAATCATTTTGTAGGACGAGGAAGAACGAGGAGAACGCAAGCATGCTAAAGATGCCCTTCTGCTATGGTGTCAACGCAAAACTGCTGGCTATCCTAATGTGAGGGTGGAGAACTTTACGACCAGTTGGCGAAACGGTCTGGCGTTCAACGCGCTTATACATGCTCACAGGTTTGTAGNGATATATTGGTTGATGCCGATTTTCCAGACCAGAGTTGGTCAACTTCAATGCTCTCAACCCCAATGATCACATTGGAAATCTCAACAATGCATTCGATATTGCTGAGAAGAAATTGGAGATTGCGGTGAGTTGTAAAGTTTTCTCCTTTATATGTCTATCCAATATAAACGACACGACAGGTATTCCTTTAATTACGAGTTCTCGTCGTCCAAGTTCGACTCTTTGAATCTCTGTTTTCCCATCCCTGGTTTGATTTACCTGTAATGCTTGCTCTGAAAACGACGAATTATTGCCTGGACCGAATCGTCCTTCTAATAGTTCCGATGTACTTTAATTTGATGTTTTTTATTAAGTGAAATGTCGCGATATTC